ACTTACAGAATTTATTTTATCGAAATGAATAAGTACAAAATTAGACCAAGTTGAGTATCTGATACTCTGTCCTTAAGACAGATTCGTCCTGCTTCGGTGCTTACGGATAAATGATGTTTATATCCCAAGATACAATAATCTACACAAATTGTAGTAGAACTCTAAACAATTTGTACGGCGAACAAAACATGTGTTCTTTACTCTCTGAATTTTTCCCTAAAAACTGATATGAAGAACAATGGACACAAAGAGCAAAATCAGGAAGAGAAGAATTTTTCTGTATGTTTCAAGTTGTGAAAATCTGCTGGAAATGAATCTGAATGTATAGGCAAACTGGTGGCTGTTGAACAAATCCGAACAGGTAGATTTTTGAAATGAATAGGTGCAAACAACCTGAACAGATATGGAAATTAAACTGAGTAGATGGAAAACTATTTGAACCCAATTCTGAATCTGTTTGGAAAACTGAATCTATTTGGTGCAACCGTAACCTATTTGAACCTGCTGGACCGCTGGAAATTGGACCGGAGAAGGGCTTTGTTTGGACAAAAAATATTGGCGCAAAATTTAAATTAATTTTGTTTAGAAAAAATAAGGCTCTATTTGGTAGAGCTTTTGAAGTTTAATTATGCCCTTAGTTTGAGTGTGTTGTTTGGTTGCAGCTTTAGAAAATTAATTCCACACCCACTTTTTAAAACACCCACTTTTCAATATCATATGTCACATCACTCAATTCAAACTCTTTTTAAAATTCATAACCAAACAAATTTTCTACATTCAAATCATAATTCCAAAACTCACAAATTCAAAATACAACTCTATTTCCAAATCATAATTCTAAAACTCTACCAAACGCAACCTAATTTTTCCCGCAAGAATTTTTGGAAAAATTCAAATAAATTTTGCCTAAAAAATTAATGTTAGAATCGACCCAACCCACAACCCACACTTGCGCCCGGCTAGTCGGACGGAGGCGACAGCATGCGCATGTGTGGTGGTTTGAGCCAAAGGTCATTTTGTCCATAACTCCTCCCTTCTACAAACTTGGGGCCTAACCCAAGTATTGCCGCCTAGAACTTATATACACACATAAGTTCTCTTAAGTTTCCAATATGGGATAATCATTTCAAAGAAACCCACATTTTACTTCTTCAATTTCCTATTCCACGAATCCAAAAATGATGTCCAATTCCCATTCACTCATAAATGGTTTTGACGAACTGTCTTCACCATGTGACTTGCCATGCGGTAAGGAACACGTCACCTTTTTGGACCTACCTCAAAAGACGTGGTGGACCCACTCAAATTTGGACTACAAGTTGGCCCAAAATAAGCCTATAATCACCATTATTTCCAACATCAACAAAAGCGGGAGTCTTAAACTCCATATATATAATGCCATAGGCTTATACAAAGAGTAAATACAAAAATAACAAAACGTAGTCTTCAGCTCCCAGACCCTCCCAAGTTAAGTCCTTGGGGGAGGCATATCGCTACTACCTAAAAATGATTTCCCAAGGAGGGTGAGCCAAAATCTAGTAGAATAATCTAACACAATATATGAACTTTAACAAAGTTATAAATATGATGCGCATGTTCAATATTCAAGATAAAAATTGTTTACAACTCTTCTTTCATAACTACATTATGCCCAATATTACATCCCAATCCATTTGATATCAGTTCATTTCACATTGTTTCATATTTTCTCAATTCATAAGTCACCTCCGTTGTTATTCAGACAACCCAATTGAAACTACAACTCAATGGTTTTCTCACTACACAACCATTATACAGAAACACTTTAATTTGTCATTTTACGAAAATTTCACCCGCGGGATTGGCACCCATGTATATACGCGGTTTTCGGAACTTACACCCATGACACATAAGCCAACTTAATTTAATGGAGTCCATTCCCTTTCTCCTCCCAATCATTGAATACATCCCCTTTCTCCTCCCAAATATCATACGTATACAATGTATTAAACATAGTCATATTCAATGACAACCGATAAGAGATTAGTTTCAATTTACCTAATCTTCATGCAATTTCTACAACAATCATAATCATCCTTCACCGAAGGCCCAAAACAGATATTTCTAAATAAATATACAATCTCACAACAGATAAATTATCCAAATTTTTGTAGGTGGGAGATGACACACATCTAACTCCACCACTTATATAAACATTCATTTAATTTCATATTCCCATATTTTATTTCATTATTTATGCAAGATAATTATTCAAACATTTTAGGGCAAAACCCCATTTCTTCCCAAATCTCTTTCCAACCACTAAATCATTTATTTTAAAGCATCACAAGTTCATATTCATTCCTATGACTATTTCCAAGACCTCCTTTTGAAAACCTCTATTTTAAATTTAAACCCCAAATCCTAGGTTTGTTAAAATTAACTCAAAACCCAATGTATCATACACATCAAGAAAGAACCAAGTTAAAACTCATAGAGAGTCTACCTCAAGCTTAGAAGACCAATGCAACAATGGAGGAGCTTCAAAGACACCGAAACCAACTTTTACTTGGATCAAAACAAAACTCTTGAGACGCTCTACCTTTTTCACAAAGGCACATGAATAGAGAGATCACTAGATCCAGGTGAAAATGTATAGAGAATAGGAGTTTTAGAGAGAGAGAGAGAGAGAGAGTCCCGATCTAGTGTTTTTGAGAGAAAAGAGATAAAAAAGTGATGAAAAAGTAGGTTGCTGCGAACTGATAGACGCACAATCCGCTCGAGTACAAGAGTTGATGGTCAAGCGTCAGACATAGTAAGTTGTTCCGCTCGAGCATAAGAAATGACCCCTCAAGCGCAAAATACACACATCTAGGAGTTTTGCAGAGGACAGACCATCACTTGAGCACAAGAAGGATCGCTCCAACTAAGCTCGCTCAAGCGCAAAAAGAACCGCTTGAGCGTAGAATGCACTCTCCTAGTAGTTTTGTAGACCTGCAAAAGTACTGAGAGTTTGCAAAGCCCGTTCGAGCGCAAGAAGTGTCGCTCGAGCGGAAGAGCAAAAATCTTGGCAACAAAAGTTTGAAAATTAAGCAACCAACCTATTTCAAACATGCTCCAACCAACTCAATAACCAAACTCAAGCAAGAATAAAGGGGAAAAGACGTGAACAATATTTGGAAACCATAAACCCGAGCTCCAGAATAACAAATGGATCGTGTCAAAGCCGAAATCGTTATATATTGTGCATTAAAAATGAATCATGGACAGAAATGTCCCCCCCTTCCAATCATCTATGCAATTCCAAATAAACAATCATTTGTTTGTGATGAAACTTTTGGAACATAAACAAATTCAATTTTGGCATGAAACCACTACAACAAATGACACTTTTGGTGACTAAATTTTTTGTTTCTAAAAGTCATATTTTAGTTGTCCAAACCCTTTGCTGACTAAAATTTTTGGTCGCCAGTTTTGTCGTTGAATGATTGTTAGGAAAGGTAATTGGCGACTAAAAAAGATTTAGTCACTGAAAGTCCACAATTGGCAACTAATTTTTTAGTCGCCAAAAGCTTTCAATTAAATTTAACATGACATTTTCAGCGACTAACATTTTGTGTCACCAAAAACTTAAATTGTTTAGCTACTAAAATTTTAGTCACCTACGATATAATATTTTTTGTTTTGGCTACTAAATATTTAGTCACAAAATAAAGTGTTTTATCGTTCTTTCTTTTGTTTTTGGCTACTAAATATTTAGTCGCTAAAAGATTTTTTTTCATTTAATTCTTTTTTTAGCTACTAACTATTTAGTCACTAAAAATATTTACTCCATTTTTTGCTACCAACTGTTTAGTCGCCAAAAACATCATTTTATGTTTTTTTTTTAAATTAATTTGTCCACAACGACAACCTGTATGTATTCCATGCAACTTGTACAAGGTGTACAAACAAAACAATACATATATTATCACCCATTCCACAATCTGCATCCATTTCACTTCCAACCATCTAAAAATAAATAACTTCAAATGTCTAATTCCATACAAACCAAGTATATTCCAATTTAAAATAATAATTCCATACAAAACAAATAATCATATGAAAATCATGTCCTCCATATACAAAAATATATTTACTACTATGCCAAATGACCATTTGGCATGGTACAAATTATCATGGTAATCTGTACCACGACAAAAGTTAATTTATATATCACGACAATAATTATCTGTTCAATGCCAAAAGTATTATGTACCCTACCAAAAATATTTTTTGCGATTAATACAATTCCACAAAAAAGCAAAGGATGACCAAAAAACGTGAGATTATACAAAAGTGTAAATTGTCTTCTGTACACAAAAATGGAATATCCACAAGTCCATGTCAAAAGCCATCTACAAAAAAATAAATAAATAAATAAATAAATTACACCCATATAGCATTTGAGGATAATATCACACTGTCTACGAAGAATTTGAGCTACATTCATAGAAGAATAACATAACTCATATATATGTTTATAGAGATCCATACATGTACGAATTCAGTCATGCATGGGCTTTTAGGTTGCAAGCAAGAAAATCTGAAAAAATGTTGGAAAATTTATATAATAACTTAACTTCACTTTCTTTATTTTTATCTCAATAACCAAATAGAGCACCCATGGTTGCCATCTTTTTGGATTTCTGTTTCATTAGTCTTTCATTAATTTGCCAGTTGTCCAAGTTCAATCAATGTGGTAGATGTTTGCATATTGATTGATTGACTCCAATAACATAGTCCCAACACAGAAGCTTAATTGTAACAATAGTGTTTTGGGTCTTCTTTCAAGAACTTCATGATTGTTTTATTTCATTCACGAATATATGTATATATATATTTGTGTATGTTTATAAAGACGTACATGTATGATTCATAGGTCTTTATTAGTTTGCAAGCAAGAAAATTTGAAATTGGTTAAATTTAGATGAAAAGATTATAGAACAACTTAATTTCACTTTCTTTCTAATCTCAAGAACCAAACAAAGCACCTAAGGTTGTCATCATTGTAAATTTCTGTTTCATCATTTTTTTACCCATTTGGATAATACAACCAACCACATGGTAGTATGTATATGTATATGTCACAAAGCACAAACCTCTCCCCTAGCCTTTTTATAACCAAAATTACACCATATTTTCACGAGGAAGCTGCTTGTGACATCCATAGAGTGGTTAGGGGACTATTTTACATTTTCGCCCGCCAAGCGCCTTTTTTGGACTAAGTTTAAGGCATTTTTGACTTCAACTCCCAAACTATGTGTGCTAATTACATGTCGTCTGTCCACACAAGTCCTATTTTTCACAATGAAGCTATCAGTGACATCCATAGAGTGGTTCACGGCTGTTTTGTATTTTTGCCTCCACAAACGCCTTTTTTCGACTAAGTTTAAGGCATTTTTTACTCCAACTCCCAACCTACGTGTGCTAATTATATCCCATCTATCCCCACTGGTCCTATTTTCCACGAGAAAGTTGCCCGTGACATCCATAGAGTGGTTCGGGAGCTGTTTTTGCATTTTCACCCTCCAAACAGTATTTTTTTTACTAAATTTAAGGCGTTTTTTACTCTAACTCCCAATATACGTGTGCTAATTACATGCCATCTACCCCATAGGTCTTATTTGTTACAAGTAAGCTGCCTATGATAATCACAAAGTGGTTTGGGGGCTGTTTTACATTTTCGCCCCCCAAACACCTTTTTTTGACTAAGCTTAAGGCATTTTTGACTCCAACTCCCAACCTACGTGTGCTAATTACATGCTGCCTATCCCCACCAGTTTTATTTGTCATGAAGAAGCTACACGTGACATCTATAGAGTGGTTTGGGGAGCTATTTTGCATTATTGCCCCCTGAATGCCATTTTTTCGTTTAAGTGTAAGGCTTTTTTTACTCCAACTCCCAACCTACGTCTGCTAATTATATCCCGTTTGTCCCCATAGGTCCTATTTGTCACGAGAAGCTACCCGTGACATCCATAGAGTGGTTTAGGGGATGTTTTGCATTTTGGCTCCCCGAACGACCTTTTTTGACTAAGTTTAAGGCGTTTTCGACTCTAACTCAAAATGTATGTATACTAATTACATGTCGTTTGTCCCCAACAGGTCCTATTTGTCATAAGGAATCTTCCCGTGACATCCATAGAGTGGTTTGGGGGTTGTTTTACATTTTCATCTTGAATGCCTTTTTTCGACTAAGTTTAAAGCTTTTTTTAGTCCTACTCCCAACCTACATGTGCTAATTACTTGTTTTCTTTCTCCACAAGTCTTATTTGTCATGAGAAAGCTACCCGTGACAACTATAGAGTGGTTTGGGGACTGTTTTACATTTTCGCCCTCTGAACGCCTTTTTTCGACTAAGTTTATGGCATTTTTAACTCTAGCTCCCAACCTACGGGTGCTAATTACATCCTGTCTGTCCCTACGGATCCTATGTGTCACGAGAAAGCATCCCTTGACATCCATAGAGTGGTTTGGCAGCTTTTTTACATTTTCGCCCCCTGAATGCCTTTTTTCGACTAAGTTGAAGGCATTTTTCAGTCCAACTCCCAACCTACGTCTACTAATTACATCTCATCTATCCTCACAGGTCCTATTTGTCATTAGGAAACTACTCGTGGCATCCATAGAGTGGTTTGGGGACTGCTTTACATTTTGACCCCTCTGGAACGCCTTTTTTTGACTAAGTTTAAGGCATTTTTTACTTTAACTCCCAACCTACGTGTGCTAATTACATCTCGTCTTTCCCCATAGGTCTTATTAGTCACAAGGATGCTGCCCATGATATGCATAGAGTGGTTTGGGGTCTGTTTTACATTTTTGCCCCACGAACACCCTTTTTCGACTAAGTTGAATTATTTTTATTATTTTTTTTCAATTAACTTAAATGAATCTATGTAGTTCCTAGTCTCAAAACAGGTTGGAATGAAACTGAATTGCATTAATAATCTTGTTGGGGTTCATAAAATTTACACAATCTTGTTGTGCTAATTTACTCTATGTTAACCCAACCATTTAAGTACTCTATTCAACCATTTAATTTACTGTAATCAATTCAGGGAAAGTGAATATTTCATAGAAAACATGTGCTTACCTTTTCCACATCAGAATGAAGTCCTTCAGAGTATCCAAACACCAAGTACTCTGCTGCTAAGTCTCCTAATATTACGTATCAAAATCTATTCAAAGTCTGGAAACAAAAACAATAGAAAACAAAACCCATTATCAACAGTGAAAATGATATACAAAAACAATTTTCTAATAAACAAGACATGTCTCACAAAACATGTATCACTTGAGTGAAAACCCTAAACTTTGAACTGGGTGTACAAATGAAGAATATTCAAATCAAGTTTACAAGGAAGAGATGGAAATGGAGATGGAGATTACACACACAGGATGAGATGGAACTACTACTATTACAAATACCACCAACAATCCTATAAAAGGCAGTCAGGAGAATCTCACAGCTCCTAGAATACTATCTTTTCCTCCAATTTCTAAGAGGCAGTTTGAGCTTACCATGGCAGCCCAAGCTAATGACGGACCACCCCCACATGTGTCTCACTAATCCTACTTAATTTGTTTTATCATTGCCTCTTCTTATTGGTTTGTTGTTGATAATGATGATGAAATTATTTGGTTGGCAAATATTAATAAATAACGACTAAACCTTTTGTAGCCAAAGATTGAGTAATGGTGGCAAACATATTCGTAGCCAAAAGTAGCCATTTGGCTACCAAGTTTTTTTTTTTTTTTTTTTTTTTTTATCAGCAATAATTGATTATACAATAACTACATTTTTTTAGTCACAAAGAGTTTATATTTGCCGACAAAATTATTTGGCCGTCAAAGAGTAACCCTAAAAATATGCATGTTATTTGGCGACTACACTTCCTTTTGTCGGTAAATAATTGTATACGACGACTAAAACAAAAATTAGTAGCTTAAAATCTATACTAACACCAACTAATATATTTTTTAGTCGCCAAAAATGTCATATTTAGCGACTAAATTTTTTTAGTCAGCAATAAATAATATATATCGACTAAAATCATGTGGTAGCTAAATCTTCAACCAACGCCGACCAATAAATTTTTTAGTCGCCAAAAATGTCACTTTTGGCTACTAAGTTCCTTTTGGTCGCCAAAAGTGTAATTTGTTACAGTGAACTGTTACTATGCACGTTCTCTATTATAGGAAAATCACAATTTTTTTTTTTTTGATAAACTACAAATATTTGTCATATATTATGTCAGTTTGTGATAAAAATTCTGAATGTCAGATTTAAGGTGTGCACTCCTAAGGTAAATATGTCAGTATGGTGAAAGTGTTAATGAACTATTTGTGATGAAAATTGTCACAAATCATTTTGATGAGAAAAGTTAGTATAACATATTGTAGAATTTATTACAAAAGTTGTAATTAAATTTTGTTTATCATGATAAAGTGCAGACAGTATGCATTTTTTGTAAGAGGTGTAGACCATAACGGCAACCATTCTAGTATTCTAATGTTTACTATAATTTCCTTGGTTTCTCAATCTAGTGCAATATTACTTATTTTGTGTCTCATATATATATATATATATATATAAAAGTTCAAAAAAAAAGAAAAAAGAAAAAAAACACTTACTATGTGTTAGTATAGTAACCAAAAACAAAATATATTAAAGAGCCAAAAATAAATATTGAGCCAAGAACAAGACACTAATTTAGTTTAGTTTCAATTTTGGAATTAGTTTATTGATTTTTTTAAAATAGAAATTAGTTCGACAAAAATAAAGACCAAAAAGATATTTTTAAATTTTACAAGATTATTTTCGTCTCCAAAAATACAGAGTAACACTAGAGACCCACACATGTACCCACAAATTTATCCACAATGATGTGGCATAAGAGTTGAGTCTATCATAACAAATCAAAAATGACACATATCTTACCACATCATTATAAGTAGAATTGTAAGTATTTTTTTACGATTTCAAACATTTTCCTTTAAAAATTTTCAAAAGACATTTTAAAAATCAAAACAAACATAGCAAATTCACCTAAGCCTACATCCATGGATTATCACTTATGCACCAACACTTTGATCCGCTTAATTTATTGCACTAACTTTATTCTACTCCAATTTTCTTTTTTTCACAGCAACGATCACTTTATCACTAAGCTACCTTAAGCTACCACTTCAACTATAAACTTCCATTTTCCATTCAAAATTCAACATACGTTGAATGACTGGTATAATGTAATTTTCAGACAATTTACTGTAAATGGTGAATGCAGAATAGTTCTCATTATATCTAACTGTTGGTAAACACTGAACAGCTAGATAAGGATGCAAAACTGCCAAACATGAATAAGACTACAAAGACAGAAATCGCTGACAATATTAAATAAATTGTTTTATGAAACATAAATGTAAATACTAGATTTTTTTTTTTTTGATCAGCAAAAAAAAATTTCATTAATTAATATGAAATTAAAGGTACAGTAAGATGAAATGCACTGAGAGAGATTCGGAAAGTACAAAATATCCCTACTACTGCTACTCGCAACCATACAACCAACCCCTCGGCCTCACGATTTTTTTTAAACAAAAAAGTTAAGAAGGACTTAACAGAAAATAAAATACATAATTCCCCACAAAATCAACCCACCAAAACATCCAAACTGCTAAAATTAATTTCTAACACCCAAGCTGGTATCCCAATTATTTTATACACCTACTACACTTCCAAAGCCCACGCCTATTCTAATGTAAATACTAGATATGACTACCATATGATATAAATACAACGATATGATAAATTTTAGTATATATATATATGAGTATAACATATTGATATATTTGTAAAAAATGAAAAAAAAAAATTATAATTTTTAATATTGTTATAAATAAGTTGAAAAATTTGTAAAAACAAATTCTTCAAAAAAATTAGATGTTGTAGTTTAGGGTAATGCTATGGTATACATATATGCAAGTTATGA